CCAGAACTTTTACAGAACCAGGTCTCCGCTCGAGCTTCCAACTCCCCGCTCGAGCGGCACTCACACAATCCCGCTCGAGCGGCCAATCCCACGCTCGAGCGTCCAACACTGCACAGGAAATACTGGATGGGTGCAATTCCCGCTCGAGCGGACAGGTCAAAGTTTGGGCAACTAGTTTTGGTTTCTAAACTCAACCAACCTGTAACAAACCCGCTCAACACATCCTATAACTCAAATACAAAGTAAGAAAGGATGTAAACAAGATAATAAACAACTACCAACATCCACGGACACATGTCCGGATCACTATACAACAAGGGTAAACCCGGGATCGCTATAGTACAAATTATAAATAAATAAATAGAAATCTCCGGTATCCATCCATTCAAATTGTTTTTAGAAATGTCAAAGTTAGTGAGTTGTTTATGCTCTAATAGATCCTAAGAAGTGGATGAAGATATCTTATAAGCTTAAAGCTAAATTAAAATGATATTGTTTTGAGATGTGTAGTTTAAATTTTTTTTTTTAAAAAGTAGCATTTTACTGTCATTTTACTTCATTTGTGATGTTAAGTTGTTGAATTATGTATGTATTTTTCTATGGTAAAAATCATTTTAAAAAAATGACAAAACTAAAAAGTTACAAATAAGAGAGGTACAAACTATTTAGGAGCGTAAGATTGTTGATTGAATTAGTAGTGTCTGCCAAGTTTTCTTCATTCTTCCAACAGTCATATACAATTAGCAATTAGTTCCAAGGTTGTTTTCTTGCTTATGAACAACATTTCCATTCAATACTCTCCATGTCGCAACTTTTCTGTTGTAATTAATCACAAAATTCCCACTTCCCAATAGAAACAACTGCTAGTCAATATCTCTAGTGTGATCCCTTAGTCGCTATTGAATTAAGAATGTTTCTACTTCTCAACAAGCAAACTTGGCAACATTTTACAAAGGAGTAACACATCATTATTTTCAATGCAAATTCTCTATGAAGTAGCCAACAATTCTATCATTCAAAAATGATTAAGAATGAAACAAGGGGAATGGTTTGAGTTATAACTTGTAAGATTGCATTTCAAAGTTAAAAAACTCAGCAAGGCCAAGTTTGACTGAAATCTAATTTAAAGCACCTACATACAAAAAGTGAAAATATTAGAAGGTTGCTACATGATGTGATGAGAAAAGAAACAAAAAAGAGTCATGACATTTAAGAAAACTAAACGACTTAGCAAAGCTTTAGAACTCAATACAGCAACAAGGGTAAAGCTTTTGAAGTGATGCTTCTTTCTACACATGGCTTAAGCTTTGGAAACCACGTAAAAGAGTGTTGCAATATGGATATGACTCTTTTGCTGCCTCCATAAGAGTTAATTCAAGTTTATGAGCAAAACAATGAACATAATACGCACTTTCATGTTAGAACACTAGAAGAAACAATAAATTTGCTTAATACCCAAAAAACGCTCAATCACATATCCCCTACTTTCCACATACTAAAAGAAACAATAAATTGCTCCTCCATCGATGCATCCCAAGATTTATCAAAAACAATAGAGAACATGCCATCACCAAGTTCTCTAACAATAGCATTGGTAGTTTCAACTGCAATGGCGTTAAGAATATCCTTTTGAATACTAGGTGTTGTCAACTTAAGGTGTTCAGGAACATCTTTTGACAAAACAGCTCTGAGATTCTCATTTTGATCTAAAAGAAGTATCAAAAGCTAAAGAAAGTTTCCTTGGTTGCTTGAATCTTCAAATTCATCATGCCCATGAAATGGAATCCCTTGTCGCAAAAGAAATCGGATGCAATTAATTGATGCAGTCAATTGAACTCTATAATCACTCTTGGCTTCATCAAGTAGCTTGGAGAAAACTATTTCAATATGTTGCTTTGTCTTCTTTTTTTTCTTTTTTTGATAAATGTTTCAATATGTTGCTTTTGATTCAGTAAGTACTGACATTTTCTCCAAGCTTGATTGTGAGAGCTGTTAACACCTCCCACGTGACCTTGCAACCTTTCGTTCTTCTTCCAACTTGAAAACCCATCAACAACAAAAGACTTATCACCTCCTTGGTCTCCTATGACGGGTTTAAAAAGGTAACAACAAAGGCAAAATGCAGCATCTTTAGCTATGTCATACTCCAACCTACCACCAAATTTAGCAAACCATGAAGCGTTAAACCTTTTTGATGATTGCCCAATTTTCCTTCGTGGAAAATTGTAATTACGAGGTTGACAAGGGCCTTTTAATAAGTACACCCTATGAACGTGTCCTCGGATGCTACGATGATAATTTGTAATCTGGGTCATAGCCCCGGATCTTCGAGAAGGTCTAGCAAGTCGATTTCTATACGACTCTGTTTTGGAGACTCGTCATGAATTGGTGAAGATGATGATTCTATGCTTGATTTTCTTTTATAATATCGCTCCATAACTATTTTAAAAACCCAAAAAAAACACAATAACAACAGATAGCCTATTTTAGGCGGTAGTGTGTTTCAATGAATTGTTAGCAAAATTGGAAAAAAAAAAAAAAATTACTTTGAACCAAATATAAACATACTTTAACAGAAAACATCAAGTTCAACTTTTTCTTTTTCTTTTTTATATATATAAAAAAAAATTGAATCCCTACTGAAATTTTACAACAAATATTGAAGACCTTGAAGTAAAAACTAACACAATCAGTATGAAAGTTGGGAAAATTGACCTCTGATGCCCGAAACCACGTAGAATCAAGTTATGGTTCTTCAAGCTTAAAGAAGGCTTTTTGAGAGAGATGGGAAACCCACAATTAGTCATTTTTTGATTGTTTAAGAAAGAATTTAAAAGTTTGGTTTTGACTTGTTTAGTCATTAAAAAATCATTTTTGTAAGAAACTCTCACCATGTTTGAAAAATACTAAAAAAATATTTTTGAAGTGTTGAGACTTTTCTTTAATGAATTTTTTATTTTTTAGGATTTTATTTTGAACGGATTTAAAAAGTAAAATGAAGTAAAAAATAAATAAAAATCTACTAAAAAAATAATAAAATTGCACTTTTAGCATTGATAAGACGCATCAATTTTTTAAGTAGTAATTTTATCTTATAAAAATTAAAATTAAAATATATACTTTTAAAATTATAATTTTTCTAAAAGTGCAAGTCTGTTTGTATTTGGTACAAGTGAAAGTATAATTCTGATAAGAGGACTACAACTCAAACTAAAATAATAGCTCAGAGTGTAGTATTGACGAAGTAACTCAGATCAAAATCTTCGCAGCAACCAAAGGCTTGTGACTCACAGCTTATGAAGTACGAGTACTCCAAAAATGGTGCCGTACGAGTACCGGGTACTTACCAGGTGCGGGTACGCTTACTGGTACGGCGATACGTGTACCAGGTACACTGAATACATGCCAAGTACAGCAAATACATGTGGGTACGTCGTGGGTATGTCGTGGGTACGACATGCGTACGGCACCGGTACCGCAAAATGATTTTTTTTTGCAAATGTTAGAATTTATTGTAGCCTTTATATTTATTATTCTTCTTTCAATTTTGAAAATATTAAGTTATTTATTTCCAACACCCTTTACCTATGAGTCATGGTTTTGCTCTCTTTTGTATCATGTTTTAGACAATCAAAAAAGAAAAAGAAATAATTATATAACTTTTTAGACAAATTGTTTTCTAGTTTTGATATTGAAACTTTGATTTGTATGTTGGATGTTTAGCTATAAATTTTTTTTTTAAAAAAGTAAAAAAAATTGACGTACCCCAACCGTACCCGTACCCTACTTTTTTAAGAATTTGCCGTATCGGCGTACCCGTTCCCGTATCTGTATCCGCACCCGTGCTTCATAGCTCACAGCTCGGTGAAGACAGCAGCACCATCATGATGCGTAACTGCGTAACTGTGCAACTGATATGGCAATTGCTTAGTCAGTTAGAGAGTTTGTTAGGCTGCTAGATTGTATATGTATGTATAGTTGGTTAGAATAGCAGAGATAGGTGATTGTATAAAAAGACCTTTGTAATTGAGATATGAAGAAATGGAAATGGAATAAAGAATTTCATCATGGTATCAGAGCTTTCAAGCTCAAGCGAGCAAGATCCTCCCATGGCGAAATCTTCTTCCTCAGCTTCAATCCCTACCAATCTCAGTCTACTCATATCAAATCTTAGTTCATTAGTTACTGTTAACCTTGATTCGTACAATTTTCTTATATGGAAAAATGAAATCCAGAATGTGCCTCGTGCAACAAGTTTGCTTGCTTATGTAACTAGATCAATTGCTTGTCCTACTTGAAAAGTTATTGAATCCACTGGAACGTCATAATTGAATCCAGATTTAACTCAACGGGAGGTAATTGATGCACATCTTCTGAGTTATTTAGTTGCAACTCTATCTCCTTCAGTGTACTCCTCTGTTCTTCATCATACTCATTGCTTTCAAGTATGGCAAGCTCTTGAAAAATGATTCACCTCATTGTCAAGATCACACATTCATCAGTTGAAGACAAAATTGCAATCAATTACTAAAAAGTCTCTTTCTATGGAAGAATATCTTGCTCAGATCAAACCAATTTCGGATCAGTTGGTTCTTGCATCTGCAAGTACTCATGATGAAGATATGATTCTTATCATTCTCAATGGCTTGCTTGAAGAATACGATGCCCTCAAAACAGCAATTAGAGCATGATCTGAGTCTTTGTTGATGGAAGAGTTGTGTTTTCTGTTATGTTCTGAAGCAATTCATGTTGAACAAAAACTCAAACATGTTGATGATCATACTCTTACTGTTGCCTATTCAGCATCAAAAGGTTCACATCCTAATTCTTCATCTGCTTTTGGTTCTTCATCCAATTTTTCCTCAAATTTGTACCGTGGATCTTACTCTCGTGGCAGAGGTTCATATAGAGGCAGAGGTCAATTTTATAATTGTAACGATGGAAATCATGATTCTCGATTCTTTAATCGAAATAACAACATAAATAGATCACAGTTCAATTCCACTGGTTGTCAGATTTGTGGCAAACCAAGCCACACTGCTATTGATTGCTGGCATTGTATGGATGCATCTTTCCAACCACTGTCTTTCTCATCTCCAATTCCAGCTAATCCCTCAAACTCAAGAGCCTATGCAGCAACAATTCTCTCATCTTCTTACAATTCTTCACCACCTCATTCTTTTTCTATGCCCTGGTACATTGACTCTGCTACTACAAATCATCTCACGAATGATCTCTCAAATTTCCATCTCTCACAGCCTTATCAAGGACAGGATCAAGTGACTGTTGGTAATGGTTCCTCTTTGCCCATTCATCATGTTGGCACAGGTCTTTTGCCTACTCCTGCCTGTTCTTTTACTTTGAACAATTTGTTGCATGTACCTGCTATTGCTTCTAATCTTTTGTCTGTTCAGCAGCTCACTCGTGATCATAGTTGTGTTATTATTTTTTATGCTAACTCTTTTCAAATCTAGGACAAGCTTACAAACAAAATTCTTCATATTGGATCTAATGTGAATGGCTTATATCAGTTCTCTCCTTCTCTTGTGCTTCACCACAGGCCTATCATGTTCACTCACCTGTTTCTGCTAGTGCACTCACTTCGCATCAACAATTGGGGCATCCTTCTCCTTTAAAGTTTCAACACATTATCAAGCATTTGCCTTATTTTTCTTCTGATCATGTTGATTGTTCTACTACTTGTAATAAGCTTGCTTCTTGTACAAACTGTGTTGCTGCTAAAATTCATAGACTGCCATTCAAGCTCTCTAATACTTCTGTGAATGCTCTCTTTTCTTTGGTTCATAGTGATATTTGGGGACCCTTTAACTCTTCAGCTAATAGCTTTAAATACTATGTTTTGTTTGTCGATGACTTTAGTAGGTTTTCTTGGGTCTACCCCTTACATTACAAGAGTGAAGTTTTTGCTAAGTTTTTAGACTTCAAATCTTATGCTGAAAATCAGTTTCACACCTCTCTTAAAATTTTATGCACTGATGGTGGTTCTGAGTCTGTTAACAAGAAGCTTGATTCATTTCTTGCATCTAATGGAATCATTCATCAACAGAGTTGCCCTTATACTCAGTCTCAAAATGGTGTGGCTGAGAGGAAGCACCAACACATTTCTGAAACAACTATTGCTCTTATTCATCAATCAAATTTGCCTCTTTCTTTTTGGTTTGATACTATCGTTGCTTCAGTTTTTCTCATTAATCGCATGCCTAGCTCTACTTTGCATAATGTCTTTCCCTATGAGACTCTTTTCCATCATCCTCCTAATTATTCTTCTTTTAAAGTGTTTGGCTGCCAATGTTTTCCTTGGCTCAATCCTTACACTTCTCATAAACTTTAACCCAAGTCTACCTCTTGTGTGTTCTTGGGGTATCACCCTTCCATGAAAGGGTATCGGTGTTTAGATCCCTTCACAGGTAAACTTCATATCTCCAGACATGTTCTTTTGATTGAATCTTGCTTCCCCTTCTTTTCTCTTCCTCATACTCCTCATCTTTCTCCTTCTTTATCTGGTTTTTTCTGGCACCCTACTCCTGTTTCTCATCTTGTTTCTCAGCCTTCTCCTCCTTCAGGACTTGTTTCTCCACATTCAATTCCTTCAGTTTCTTCACATTCAGTTCCTTCTGTTTCTCCACATTCTGCTTCTTTAGTTCCTGCTTATCCTCATTCAGTATTTTCTCCATCCTTATTCCCTTCTCTCATTCCTATTGATTCTCTCTATATAAATCTTCATTTCCCTCCTCCTCCTTCTGTCCCTTCTCTAGTTTCCAACTGTCATCCTATGATTACTAGGTCCAAGACTCAGACATGTTTGTGTCTTGATGCTTCTGTTTCTGAGCCTTCTTCACTACTGAGCCTTCTACTGTCAAACAAGATATGTCTTCTCCTGTCTGCGTTCAAGCTATGCAAGAAGAATATAATGCCCTTCAACAACAGTGTACCTGGGATCTGGTTCCTCTTCCTTCTCACAAAGTTGCTGTAGGTTGTCAATGGGTATATCGTATCAAAAAGAATTCCGATGGAAGTATTGCCAGGTATAAGGCTCAGTTGGTGGCCAAGGGTTATTTACAACAAGTGGGTATTGATTTTCAAGAAACTTTTAGCCCTGTGGCTAACCAACCAACCATCAGAATTTTACTCTCCTTGGTTCTTCATTTTCAGTGGCCTTTGAAGCAATTGGACATTTCCAATGCTTTTCTTCATGGTAAGCTTGAGGAGGAAGTGTTTATGTTACAACCACCTGGGTTTGTTTATTCCTCCCATCCTACTCATGTTTGTAAATTGAAGAAGGCCTTGTATGGTC